CAGATCATATTAAAATCAAATAGACCAGATTGAAACAATAGTAAAATACAAAAATCTCACACTTTTATCAGACAAGGCTTAATCACACTACAAAATTGCCAAAAAGTATAAAATCTTTAAAAAATATTCAAATGAAAGATCAACGAGATGTGCCAATTTTATATCTGAAAATGTCAAAACCCCATTCTAAATAACTAAAATGTTCTTTTTTTTTTTGAAAAGAAGAAAACCTAAAATGATAAAACCCGACGTATAACATTTTCAACAAGAACTATCAGCCATGGATAATATAATAAAATTGTCAACGCACTTGATCCCTTTGATTTTAATGTCAAGTGGGGGATTCATTTGATCCCTAATTGAATAGTACTGTCTCATGATCGAATCTTACCGTCTCTGTGATTTTGACCCAATATTGTCTTACGTAACTAAATATTTTTTGGAAAATTTTATGGTGCCTTTGCATTAGGTGATGTTCCGGTGCAACCTCAGGAGTGAATTACATTTTGGCATAGTTAAGTCCGTATTAATGTATGAAAAATTGCAATTTAGCAACTTAATGTTCGTGAAATACTCCCTATGTAATAATTGTGCATATATTAAAATAAATTCCTATCTCAGAACAAAAAAAAGTCTCACAAGATTAAATATAAAAAGGTTCATTGTACGAAATGATTTTAATTTTAATTTTTAGCCCTTTTTATGCCTTTATTAAAATAAATATAAAAAGATGAAAACATGACTTATTTGAGTTTCCCAAAAAAGTACCTAATTAATTATTCTCTCCGTTCCATAAAATTTTTCCCACTTTCCTTTTTGGATCATCCCAAAAAATTCTTCTCACTTACCATTTTTGGACAATTTGTGTGGTTCACATTCATTTCACCTTTTTCTTACACAACCACAACCATACATTTCCACTTTATTCAACTTTCTTAATCTCCGTCCCAAGTCAAAGTGGGAAGAATTTTATGGGACGGAAGTAGTATATTATTATTTGTGTTAGTAATTTATTTTGAAAGGAAATCGTCCATATTGATATACTAATATATTTAATCATGCTCTTTAGTCCTTACACCTCGCTCAAATTTAGCTAGCAACCTTCTCATCCTTAGACTCAGAACATCTGCCCAGTGATCGCTCACTCCTTGATTAGACATAGAAACGTATGATGGGCAAAGAACAAAATGATACGCTAACCATGCGAGAGCTTTGAAGATTTGTTCTTCCAATAAGAATAAACACCCAAACGACACAAGACTCAAAATAAAAACAAATAAAAATAAAAAGAGGTTTTGTCGAAAAGATTACTAAAATAAAATTTATTTCCAAAATACGACTAATAATTATTCCGTACTGTATTATAATATCATGGCTACTTAAAAGTAAAAAATGAAAATAAGTTACCATAATTAAGTTACTATTATAATCACTGTACATAAGAAGTTACGTGTTCGTAAGCAATTTTTGTTTTAGTTATATATATCAAATTAAATCAAATAAAAAAGCACTAGAATGAAAAACTAAGCTAATTTAATTCTTGAAGCCAGTCTCCTTTGAACTTTATTGCTCTTTTACGACCATCAGTTCTACCTCTAGATACTTGTAAATCATCACTTGGAGACGCTAAAACTCTTAGTGAGTCGGAACAACTTGACTCGCTCGTAGTCGCGTTTTTTACAACTCCCGTCATTGCAATAGTACCTCCAATCATCAAACTGAAAAAGACAACACTAAGTGGTCATATCATTATAATCATAGTAAGTCATATCTAATATGATATGGTCTAACCTGCTTTAATCTGAGACTAAAGTCAATCCATTTTAAAACATCCTTAAATGTTGGGAAAATGTAACATCTTATAGTGGTCATATATCATTATAATCATAGTAATGCTAGTCACATTATTGTCGATAAGCTTTGTTTAAGTACGGAGTAATATTTTTAGGAAAATTTGTTATAATAATAATAATAATAATAACCACCATCCCAAGTGAATATTTAAATTATTTTTTGGGGGTTATTTGAATAGAAAGGGTGAAGCCTTTGGACCCATTGAACTATGTTTTCAGGTTATAAGTCATTTTTCATCCAACTTGTAACTTTTAGTTTTGCGCGCTGACTTGTATAAAAAACAAAATAAGTAAGATGAATTACTTTTTTGACATAATTGACTGAATTTATTTTAGAAGTCCATTTTAAATATTTGTAATATTATCTTCTTCATTTTATTAATAAAATATATTTTAAATACAATATTCGGTCTATTCAATCATTTCAAAATCATGCTGAATGTCAATTGTTTGGTACATATTTCCATTTGGAAATTGAAGTACGCCATCATGTGGAATGAAAAATGCAAAGAAATTAATGGAAAACAAACATTAAAGAATTTAAACGGAGAAAAAACTACAAAATAAAGGTGTTTAAAAACGGTGATGTGTAAATGTGTAATGTAACACGGAGTAGAAGATAAAGATGTTCAAAAGTAGGACTAAATTGTAAATAGATGAAATTAATACGGAAGGGAAAAGAAAGATGTTAATGGAGTTGGTATAACGTGGGAGCAGCCCATGGTGAAAATGGTGCTCCCACAGCTAATTCACGCGTGAACAGTAACACGCGTGAACAGTAACATTTTTTTTTGTTCCTAGTAACAGGGAGATGTAACTTGTGTGTAATGAAATGTAACTCACGTCAATATGCAAGGTAAATGCAGGCAAGTTGTGGTGTAACTTTTCTAATACGAAGAAGAATAAATAAAACGTTGATTTCAAAGTAAACAATGAAAAAAAGTAGTCTAATTGCTCAATTACTATACATAAGTAGTAAATATGTTGTTTTTTTGATATTAAGGCCATAAATGTATTTTTTAAAATATCCTTTTTTTGCCAAAATATCATTTTTTGCAAAAAAAAATTGAATTTTTCGTTTCAATAGTTGGAGTTTATTTTGGTATGTAACTATAGTGTTATGGAAAATGTAACTCATGTCGATGAAAAAATCTAACTTAGGTGCATGTAAAATGTAACTTGTTGAAGCAAGTCTAAGTGTAACTTGTGTACAAGAAGATGTAACTCACGCATAAAATTGTGTAACTCGTCCATAAGAAGATGTAACTTCATATACTATCAATTGTAAACAATGAAAACAAGGAGCTTAATTGCTCAACTACGTTATGTAAATAGTGTATGTTTTGTTTTTAATATTTAAGGCCATACAATATTGTTTCTTAGAAAATATTTTTTTTGCCAAAACTTTTTTTTTGGGGATTTTTTTTGCCAAAAAGAATTAGTTTTTGTTCAAAGAAATGGTTATTTTCTTTCAATAGCAGAGGTTTATTTAGTGATGTAACTCATATTATGAAAAATGTAACATGTACTGATTGAAAACTAACTTAGGTATATGCAAAATGTAACTTGTTGAGATAAGTCTAGATATAACTCACGCATATGAATATGTAACTCACTCATAAATATATCTATCATTGGGAAAGGTTACGCTAATGCGATTGACATTGATGGTTTTCAATTCCCTCCATCCACGCGATAGTGTACAATGGGAAAGGTTACGCTAATGCGGGCCCTGATAGATATATTTATAATAAAGTTTAGTTACCAAAATGCACGAGAATTCGTAATTTATATTAGTTATTTATATAAAGTTAATTACCAAAATGTTCCGTAAATATTGAAAACTTCACAAGTATTATGGACCTGAAAGCTCAACGGATGTCTCACCCTATTGCAGGGGCGGATATGGACATGTCAGGTTGCCCATTACCTTCAGATCGGGCCAGGCCCAACAACACTAATAGGTAGAAAAGTTGAAAAAAGCCCGGTCGAGTGGTTTTTGTACAGATTTAGTTTGATTGGTAGATTCTAGCTAGAGCTCAAACTTGACCCAGGCTAAACACTCTAAACAGATCTCAAGGGTTTATGGTGTTAATTTGATAAATTTACATTATTAATTAAACCCTTAAATTGATAGCTCTTATCGTCCAAACGTTTGATTGATATGTGGTACCGTAACATATGTCCTGAATTAAAAAGTTCCTAACAAAAAAGAAATAAAAAAACAGGGTTGACTTTGATTTTTAGAATGAGCCTATTAGGTTTGGATGCTTTTTAGACTTGAGGTTATAGATTGGAAAAAAGTTTAAACCATATGATATAACATATCTCGAATGTTCATGTTGCATTGCTCCTTATGTGGCAAGAAAATGGAGAGGGTCTAGAGCAAATATTAGAAAATGGAGATGGTCTATTTGGAGTGTACTCCAATGTAGAAAGGGAACAACATCAAAAGAAGAGAGGAAACTAGGTACGGTGCTTAGCTGGAGTGTCAGAGGGTGGCACCGAAGGTCTATTTGTAGACCTTGTGTTGGACCTCCTGCTTTGCCAACTCAGATTTTGAAGGTCCATTAGTATTACCATTGGAGAGTACATTTCACAATAAAATGTGCATTTGCTGACATGGAACTCCATTGCACCCTTGCATTGGAGATGCCCTTAGCCACACACATTTTTTAATCCTCTTATTTTTTACTCATATTGCAATTTGCAAATATAGATAACAATTTATAGAGATTATTAGTATAATTTGTCCTAGTGGCTTTTCAAAATTAGAAGATGAAAATAAATATATTTCCAACTTTTTTTTAATGCACTCACACTTCTATTATATATAGTACTCCTTATCTGTTTTTTTATTAAATATCAACATCCTTGAACGGAGTTCGTTTCGACCATGTGACTTTCTCATTGGGATGTCTACTGTCTAGTAATGCATTGAACTAGAAGGTGCTTCGCAAATATTTTTTCAAATTAGGAAATAAAATCAGAGAAATGGAAAATCTTAACACAAATGGAAAATAGCAAAACTAGATAGAAACCGTGGAATAATTGTATAAATGCACATTTATCACTTTGCCAGGTATAGCTGTGGTCCCTACGTATATGTATGGTTATATATACCCTTCACTTCATCATCGCAGAGACAAGATAACTCAGAAATAGAATTGTTTCAGATAATTAAAAAATGTCTCCAGCATTGGATTTTCCTATCAAGGTTGGCCACATTGATGATGTCCAAGAACTGAGGATGACTAATCCAAGTTATGTTCCTGAAAGATTTATTAGGGACGCCACAGAAAGGCCTGAGTTGCCCATAACCGATAATCATTCATCTTCTTCATGTGACCTTAAAATCCCAGTCATCGATCTATCAAAACTGATCAACGAAGAAAAGAGTTCTCCAGAGTTCCAATCTGAAATGGTGAAGCTCACTGTTGCTTGTCAAGAATGGGGATTTTTCCAGGTACTACTTTTTGTTTTTTTTTTAACTTTTAGACATATGGGTTAGTGAACTTTCTTGATAAATATGAAGAAAATATGTATGCCCTTGATACAAGTTTCTTTTGTTTTTTTTAACTCGGGGGTTCGGGGTCGGGGCTAGGGGAGTTTGGGTTAAACAAGGCTGAAACTCTACGTGGAGTTTGGAACACGAGACCTCCTGTATGGTACAGTGAATGGGTGACGAGTTGAACTGAACCAGTTTCTCAAAAAATATATGCAAACACGTACTTGTGATTCAGGCCGGGTGTCGAAATTATACTAGATGGATTAAAAATATCATGAAGCGAGTTGAATAATCTTAGAGGTCTTTATGAATTATGATAAAAGACTATATAATTAAGAGTAGTACATTTTCTTTATGACGATTTTTTCTGTATTTGATTTGTTGGAGGTGATACATCATGGGATTGAATTGAGTGTACTTGAGAGCCTGGAGAAGGTGGCTATGGAGTTTTTCATGTTACCTTTGGAGGAAAAACAGAAATATCCAATGGCACCTGGAACAGTGCAGGGATATGGCCAGGCATTTGTGTTCTCAGAAGACCAAAAACTTGATTGGTGTAACATGTTTGCACTTGGAATTATGCCTCATTCCATCAGAAACCCTAACCTCTGGCCCACAAATCCAGTTGCTTTCAGGTGCATCATCCATTTCCATTTAAGTGCCCATTTCAATTTTGGTCCGTATAGGGTGGATGTTTTTATTTGGACCGTAATTTGCTGATCTGGTTTGGACTAGTCTGATCTGGTCTGATCCTTTTAAGTCTAGTCTGGTTTGGTTTGAACTGGTCTGATCTGGTAAATGTCTGATCTGTGTGTATTTTATAACTACGGAACTCAAGTCTGGTCTGGTCTAGTCTGGTCTGTTTAAGCCTGGTATTGTCTGGTCTGAGACTGAAAACAATCCAAGTAAAAACATTCTAATAAATGTATACTTATCTATCACGGTTAAATCTTAGATTGAATGTTACCGAATAAAACACATACATATTAAATCTCGTTTAATTCTCGTACCGTATTTAACTAACTAGGCTACGACATACGTATTTGATGTGTATATTATATTGATGATGCAAACATATTTTCGTACGTAATTAGCAACCACAAAATAGAAAATTAAGAAATTAAAGTATATAAATTAGAAAACATTTAAAAGGTAAAGAAATGAACAAGAAGGCTAAAAATTCGAAAAAGGTGAATACCTTTTATGTTCTTTTTCATTTTTCAACATGATCCGTATAACCGAATATAGAGCATGATACTAAAACAGACGGAATCATCTGAAATTGTGGTAGAATTGGGTGAACTGTGAAAAATTACACTCCGCTTTATGAAATTTATGAAATACTACCTCCGTCCTATACGAAATAATAATTGGGAATAATGGCTTTCTCCTATTGGGTGCATTAGCCTTATATTTATAATAAAACAGAGTTATAGAATATTTCAGGGAAAATCCTAATTATTACTCCCTCCGTCCCAATTTGATTTGCAAAATTTCCTTTTTTGATTGTCCCAAAATGGTTTTACACATTCTATTTTAGATATGTAAATAAGAATAAAGTGACAAATTTACCCTTGCTTTTACTTTTTCCTCACTAACTTAAAAGCATCTACTTTTAGAAAGATGAACAAAAGTGTAAAAAAGCAAGCATCATTTATTGTCATTTCTTAATCCTTGTGCCGGTCAAAGTTTGCAATTCAATTCGGGACGGAGGAAGTACATTATTACGTCCACCTAATATTGGGACAAAAGGGAGTGGTTAAGGTTAGTAATAGGACATGAGGGAGCCGTGTGATTTTTAAGAAAAGTACAATTATGTGGTTGATACTGAATTGATAAAGTTGAAATAAAGTAAGAATAAATTAAAGTCACACAAATGTTATCAAATAGGCAAATACGGTATGTGACAATAATAGAGGGACGTCCAAAAAATAGAAAAATGAGACAATTATAGGAGGACGGAGAGAGTACGTCTTTGATCAGTTCGTAAACCGTGGGATCATCCCACGGTGAGCATCATGTTCCACCCCCCCCCCCCCCCCCCCCCCCCCCGCTCCCCCCAAACGACATAGTTTTGCACATACAACTTGTTAAAAAAATTGTGTGAACAGTACACGCGTGTACATTAACTGGTTTTTTTCTTTTTGTCGTGATAGCAAGAATGATGTAACTCGCGTGTAATGAAATGTAACTCACGCTGATAAAAAATGTAACCGTAGGCAAGTCTAAATGTAACTTGTCTAATACGAATTATAAGAAATAAAATATTGATTTCAATGAAAATAAGAAATCTAATTGCTCAATTACTTTACGTAAACAAGGAATATGTTTTGTTTTTAATATTTAGACCATAAATAATGTTTTTTTCTTAAAATCATTCATTTTGCCAAAAAACCATTTTTCCCGCCAAAAAAATCATTCTTTTTGCAAAAAAAAAATGATTTGGGGATTACTTAAATAGTGAATATCATCTGTTTTTTATATCAAGGCCATAAAAATATTTTTTAAAAAAATCACTTTTTTGCATAAGAAATCATTTTTTTGGATTTTTTTTTGCATAAAAGTGATTCTTTTGTTTGAATAGCAAGGCTTTATAATGTGATGTAACTCATGTTATAGAAAATGTTACTCGTACTGATTGAAAATCTAACTTAGGTGTATGCAAAATATAATTTGTTAAGGCAAGTCTAAATATAACTCGCGTATAAGAAGATGTAATTCACGCATAAAAAGATATGACTTGCGCTGTTGCGCATAAGAAGATGGAAATCCATATACTATCAAATGTAAAGAATGAAAACAAGGAGTCTAATAGCTCAAATTAATATATGTAAATAGTTAATATGTTTTGTTTTTAGTATTAAGGCCATAAAAATGTTTCAAAGAAAAATAATTTTTTTGCCCAAAACATCATTTTTTGCCCAAAAAAAAATCATTTTTGTTTGCAAAAAATTGTTTTTTTTGTTTCAATAGTTGAGGTTTATTTTGTGATGTAATACGTGTTATGAAAAAGTGTAATTTGCGTTGATGGAAGATCTAACTTAGATGTATGCAAAATGTAACTTGTTGAGACAAGTACAAATGTAACTTGTGCATTGGAAGATGTAACTCACGTACAAAATGATGTAACTCGCGAATAAGAAGTTGTAACTTCATATATATCAAATGTAATTCCAGAAATTGTATATAAGCATATGAAAAATGTAATATAATATCATGTTTTATGAAATATAAATCGAAATAAATAAATTTAATGTCTTAAAACACTAAAAACATATAAAAGAGATAAGAAATATATTTTTTCGCAAAGAGATAAGAAATATATTATAGAAAAAAATGTATGAATATGAAAAATATTTTACAAAAAAAGTGTATAAATGTAAAAAAGAAATACACAAAAAAAGCGGTAGTAATTTCTATTGAAGAAAAAAAGTAAAAAATAGTGTATGGTTATTAATGCAATATACTTATTTTATGTGGTTTAATATTTTTTTATTAAATTGGTAATGAATTTAGTTGATTTAGTTGTAATTTAATTAGATAAAAATAAAATCACAATTATATATGTAGTATTTTCACGAAGAGGAGAAAATTAAAGAATTGAAGTAAATAAAAAAGAAAACTAAAGAGAAAGAAATAAGTTGGTACATAGTGTTTGAGTGAAAATTAAAGAGAAAGAAAACTAAAGAAATAAAACCTGGAGTGCTCAAGGGAAAAGATAGAGAACATGTGTAGCTTCCAAAAAATTAGAAACGGTATCGTATGTGGTACGAGTATACCGTTAGCATGGTACACCGGTACCATGCTAATTATATAATTTGCGGTCTTTGATAAACAATTCTTTTAAAATCAGTCGCTATTAACTTCGAGCATTTTATTTATATACTACTACGTATTAATGAGAATGAAAGTCGATTTTTGGCCGTCTCAACATAGAAATGTCATCCTCTTTTTTACAATTATACTGTGTTTGCTGATAATCTTCTTGAGTAAAAGTCCTACTTGCTGAATTGTTGGTGTACTTTACCTTTAATGAACATAAAGTTAATTAAGTTTAGCGCCAATGAAAAAGTAATTCCCTGCAATTTAGCATCTAATTGTACGTAGTTCTAATATAATAAGCCACTAAAATGTGGTCTTTGAGTCTCAAAATCTTTGCTTCATACTCCGTATTTCATTATTTCATTTTTTGTCCATCATATGACATTTTTCATAAGTGATATCGTAATATCTATAGACTATACATAGTTCAAATTCATTTATACTATAAACGGTGGCGGACCCAGAAACTCAGAATCACGGGGTCCCTACTGTAATGTAACTCTAATCAATAAAAAATTAATAAAAAGAAGTAAAATATTAAAATAGCATAACATTTCATAGTTAACATAACGTATACAACAATTTTAAAGAAATGTCTACTATCAATTAGAGCCCGTTTGGTAACACTGAAATCAGCTGAATCGGCTGATTCTGCTGAAATTTATGAAATTCTGACTGAAGTGGTTGTATTGACTGTTTCTGCTGATTATGAAAAATTATATTTAAAATATATTATATTAATAAAATAAAGAAGAAATGATATGAAAAATAGATAAAATGGTCATCTACAACAACTGCAGTCAATACAACCTGAAAAGTAACTTCAACCTTATTTTTCTTATTATTACATAATTCAGCGCGGAAAATCAAAAGTTATATGTTTGGTTAAAAAGTTGGTTGATAAGCCTGATAAGCCGAAAACAGAGTCACTAAACGGGCACTAAAATTTTATAAAGTTAATGTCCTCTATCAACTAAAAATAATGGGCATGCATATGAGAAATCAAATTTAAAAAGCCTACATTTGAAAATTTCGATCCAATTACTTCGCATTATTTTATTTGGATTTTTATTTAAAATATATTCGTTAGCTTTGTTTCTATTTTAATTTAATACAATTATTAATTTATTAGTGTAACTTTAAGGACTTTGTTGTTGAGCTGATTTTAGTCTTAGATCAAACCACATCAAGCCAAATTATGCGATAATGGCTCAAGCGACTCAACAACAACATCCAAGCCTTAGTCCCAAAAGATATTGGGGTCGGCTAACATGAATCGATACATGATATCACAACCAAAAGGAAAAGAAGGAATAAAGATAAAAAGATAAGCTATTATGAAAAGATAATATAAAAAAGATGAATATATATAAAAATGATAAAATAAAAAGGCTGCAAATAATGCTTATATATATAAGGATAAAAAAAACTAGGGAAAAAAAAGATGAGGGAAAAAGATTATCAAGATCACTCCTTCACGTGAATACCCGCCCTCCACTTAGTTCTCTCCAAAGTCATGCCTACATCCAACCCTAGAAGAAGCATATCACTTCGAACTCCCCTAACCCACGTCTGTTTGGGTCTTCCTCTCACTCTCTTCCATGCCTCTTCTCCACACATCTCAACTCGCCTAACAAGTGCATCACTCGGTCTTCTACGCACATGACCAAACCACCGTAGGCGCGACTCCCGCATCTTGTCTTCAATAGGTGCTACACCCACCCTTTGTCTGATTGTCTCATTCCTCACGTGGTCCTTCCTAGTATGCCCACACATCCAACGCAGCATGCGCATCTCTGCCACACTCATCTTT